GCACAAGGGAACAGAGCCCCACCATTGAGAATCCTGCTGCGGAGAGAAGAGATCTGGAGGATCGACAGCTATCGCCGGAAGAGGAAAGGCAGCTGAGTAGGCAGCGACTATCCAGCATTACCAGTCAAACTCCGCTGTTTGGAAACTCCGATTCCGATTCTCCACAAACCACTCCATTCCGTCTCAGAAGCACAGGTGGAATGATGGAACTCTCAACAATCCAGGAAGAAGGAAATATAGGCCTGAAAGAAGAAGAAGACGACGAAGACATTGTGTAACCCTGAGAGGATACATTTCCATGGTTCTCGGCCAAAGCGACATAGCGGGGTGCTGCACCCTCCTTCACTTTTTGATAGCTCCATTTCAAAATCACGAATGCTCCACCCTTCAGGGTGCGAGCGCCACCCTGTTATATGCATGATTAAAGTACTTATATCAGATACCGTATATTCTCTATTATAAGCGCCGTGCTTATATTTTTTCAACACCCCTCTACCCCGTGCTTATATTGGAGACCTGTGCTTATATTGGAGACCGTGCTTATATTTTTTCAACCAATACATCCATACAGAGCAAGAAGAAATACATGCCAGATATCATGCATGCCGCATTGATTTCCACCAAGACCGTGCTAATAATGTGCTTATAATGTTTCGAAAGGTGCTCACAGTGTGCTAGTATTAGAGACTGTGCTAGTAATGGAGACCTGTGCTTGTAATAGAGAATATACGGTAGTACATGTAGCATAATTTGTAACATGGAAGTTGTGGGCACAAGTTATGCGATCGAGTCCACCAACTAAACCAGATTTTGAACAGTCAGACGTGCACAATCTAAGTTAGCACAAAACTGACAAGGAGTACTGAGACATTCCACGGCATGAAAGTCAGCTTGAGCACTGCTTGATAGCACTAACCATCACCATCTGAGTCACAGCCGCTCGGAGTCTCATTGCATTATCATAATTATTATTGATAATACTTACCACTGAAAACCATATCAATGGCAGGTTCCAGTGGCTGGTGAATAAAGTCATGGAATGGAAGTGCATACAAGAAGACAAGTAGATTGGTTGCTTTACTGATGTCGGTGAAAGTAGCGGCCACAATGACGGGAAAATCAGAAAAAAGATGGGCCCGATGATCTCTCCCCCCCCCCCCCCCTCACTTTTGTTCTGGCTATATCCCTGAGTTATATCACCTATTTATTCTCCCCTTCATCTGTCACTGTGTGTGTGCACGCATGCGTGCGAAATTCACATGCGAAATTTACATGTGTGGGTGTGCGTGCGTGTGTATGTGCGTTTATGAGTATCTGTGTATTCATGTGTGTGTGTGTGTGTGTGTGTGTGTGTGTGTGTGTGTGCCGGTGTGTGTGTGTGTGTGTGCATGTGTGCGTGCGTGTGTGTCTCTCTCTCTCATTTCTTTTTACCTTATGTCCGTTTTGCTTCTCTCCGAACGCTTTGCTGTGTGACGCCGGATTGCTTGTGTACGAAATTAACGCAGGGTTACAGCAGATGCTTTATCTCACCCAGTATGTACTCTTACTCTGATGAGACATAGACTTGACATTGTCCGGAGCACGGGTGCTTTCATGCACAATGAAGTAGGTTTGGATAAGAATTTAGAAATAACTCGGATGCTAAGTACACTTCCCAGTGGGCCATGCATTGGGGAGAGTATGACCCATACATATTCATCTGGATTGAGGGGAAACTAGTGAAGTGGACGTACTAGTATCTGGCTTTAGCATACAGCACAAGGTTGTTACTCATTTTACCTACTTTAGTTCCTTTTGAAGTACCTCTTGCATTATTCTAAAACCATGGCGCGGCTCTAGAGATGGCCGTACTGCGAAGCCACGGCGCACACAGCAGAGATCTCTGCACTACGGAGTATGCTATTGTGGTGAGGCTGCACCATGATTGTGACAAAGACCGATGCTAGCACACTCCAACGCAATACATGACACGCACATGCACATCGTCAACGCACCTGCAACGGTAGCTAGCGGACCACAGCACATCAGCTGTTTCGAGGGGTAATCAAGTCAAAGCTGACTGCCTACGTGAAGTACGGTCAGTACGCTGGATTAGCATGGTGAATACAAGAAGGCGCATAACGCTACACAACGATGGTAAAAGAAAATAAGTTAAAAAGCACAGGGAGCAGAGCTGGAAGTAGGAGCACGAGGGCTGGAGGTAAGGAAAGGCCAGAAACACTGAAAACTACTGCTGCAAAAGCGAGCAGCGGAGTTTATTATGAAGTAAGAATATAGCAGCACAGCCCCACAGCCTTCAGGTCATACTAGACCAAAACTGGGCAGGGGGGGGGGGGGGGCAATCAAAGACCAGCAAAAAGGAGTGAAGACTCTGAAATGTTGCAGCATGAACGGACATAATATATTATATAGCAGGTAGCAGCAAATAGTCAGCAAGACAATAAAAAGGGCAACAGAATGAGAAACAACGACACGACATGTAGAACAAACGAGAATTAATCTTCGGTCAGGAGTATTTGATGGATCGGAAAGAAATCAAGCCGAGAAACAGACACGATTACATGAACATTGGCATGCTCGAACAAGCAACTACTTAAAAAATAATAATAAAGCGCACACAGCGCCCAGGGGCTGCAAACCTCGGAGCATGTCGTCACACAGCACCGAACACTCGAATGGCTGTAAGCAGCTATTTGTTACATGCCGTTCCTGAGTTGGCCCTGAGAGCGGGCCTTGTGTACCGGTGTTCAGGAGAGAGGCGCCACTCAACATGGTTGCAGCGAGATAATTATGACACAGTACGTGATGGGAAATGATTGACGAGCAAAATTTGGTAAGACAAGTGCAGTGCAATTCGATTCAACCTAGCCTCGTGAGTGAGGAAAAGAAGCAGTGGGCGGCACACATGGTGCAACTGGGTGCTAACTGCACTGTGCGGTGTACTAACTTAGTGCAGGATGCTCACTCTGCTGCAAGGCCAGGTTTCACCGGGTGCGGCTGTGGCATTGAAGTACGGTGTAAGGCTGCGGGTGCAATTGGCCGGAACAGAAATATCCTGTTAGGCTTGCAGGGCCGTCAAGGGGTGCGACGCTGGCCTGGCAGTTGCATGCGTGGCACACACGCATATCGTTACGTGTGGATTTCACGCCGATACCGATGGTGGCGTGAATCCAGCCTTTTAAAACTGTTTTATCTTCACATTTCACTACTCTCCACGCTGGCACACTGATACCCAGGGGCAGGCTGTTTTATCCATGTCCAGCAAATATCGCCTGCACTCTCGGACTCGGGCAGACACTGCAAGCAACCATGGTGCGTGCTGAGGCATACTGACGACCCAGAACAGGCGCACAGAACAGGACCAAACGACTGGACCACTGGACCATATGCCCAGCAGCCGGACACACTTTACCGGAAAGCATTTCGGGATAAGCTGAACGTCTGGTGGACCGCTCTTGATAGTGCACTGCACAGGGTGATCAACCGTTGACGACGCAAGTCAACTCATCAGATAGCACCGTGTCCGTGTGCAGCGCGTGTAAACCAAAACCGCTAGCGGTACGCATTGATACAGCCGACCAGCTGCATGGCCGTGGTCATCTTTTCCTAGAGAGCACAGTGAATAGAGCGAGAAACAGAGAAACAGAGAAGCAACCAGACACACACAGGTAACTATCAAAAAAAGAGACACAGAAGACATAGCTCAAGTCGCCTGATGATTGTTGCATTGTGCAAGAAACTCGGAGTTGCGACTTCTCCGTAAACCTCCTTTGTGCCTTTTTGTGTGTAATAGTGCTCCACGTTATTGTGTTGAGCCCTCTCCGCTGGCTAAAGGAAAATCTCCTCCTTTTAGCTCATGATACTATCATGATAAATGCTAGCAAAAAAACATGATATCCATTAGAAGAGTGAAGGCTACAGGCTGACTCCCATCACTTCTACTGGTGTCGTAACTATGGTCAACAGGGGAAAAGCCGAGCAGAGAACGTACGATTTTAGCTTGTCGTCCAGCATTTGCTTGAGGTGGATGGAGCGGTTCAGCTGATGCTGTGGATGCAAACGAGAGATCACAAACAGTGCAGGCAAAATCATACACACAGGCATACACCACAGAGTTCTAGATGTTTCCAAGTGGGTTTGAAATACGATTGATTCATTCTGTACATAGCTCAAGTCAATTTTAAGAACCGAATGAGGAAAGGTATGAACCTGAGAGTGAACTGGTGAGAAACTACCTCCAGCCAAAGGCAAAATACCCCACCACACATATACACACACACACATACACACAAGAGAGAGAGAGAGAGAGAGAGAGAGAGAGAGAGAGAGAGAGAGAGAGAGAGAGAGAGAGAGAGAGAGAGAGAGAGAGAGAGAGAGAGAGAGAGAGAGAGAGAGAGAGAGAGAGACGGAGAGAGAGAGAGAGACACACACACACACACACACGTACAGGAGTAAAAACATACCTGTATTGAGGAGAAAGTGTTGATTGTTCGCATACTGTCCACCATCCTACAGCAGAAAGCACAGAGCATAATGAGACTAGTTGCTAACGGCTAGCAAGGACAACCTACTGCATATACTTACTTTACTCAAACTTTCAAAGGAAGAATGAGGGGGAGAGAAATGGTGCCGGTTCGAGTGCAACACTGTTACAGACACAGTTCTAACATTTACTGCAAAAGCCTCTATTCTAACAAGGCGCGTATATAACGTTTTTCAAAAATTGACTGGTTGACGTGTACCAAAGGTAACGATTCTCACTCATTCTCAATGCTATATGTATCGATTTCTGTATAACGATTTCTATTTTAACGACAGATTTCTCCTCGTTAACTCGTTAGAATTAGCACTTCGTTATATGTAACTCAATTTTGTGCCATTTTGTCACACTCGCTGACTGTATAAGATCTGGTTACGTTGGTGGACAGTTAGTCATAACTCGTAACATGTTGTCCTTCTTCTTTTCACTTTGTTATATAATTACGGCTTTTACAGGAACTCAGCAGCAGGGGCGTCGGAAGGAATTTTAGTGTGGTACGGTCAGCCACCTGAAGTACAATTTACTCGTGGGGTTGGGGTGGCTCCTCTGAAAAATACCGGTGTTCCCGTAGTGTGTTCGATGCCCCTGACCCTAGTGACAATTTAACTCGTACTCACTGTTCAGCATACTCGGCGTCGAATGTAGTGCCCTGAATCTTCATCTTCAAGTCTACGTACTGCCGCTGTTGGAGACACAACAGAGAGGGTGAACGATGATGTCATGAGTAGTGGAGTGTGAACAATGATGCAATGAGCAGTGTAGTATGCACAATGTCATGACTCATGAGTACCGCAGTGTACACAATGATGTCATGAGTAGTGTGCACAATGATGTCACGAGTAGTGTAGTGTGCACAATGATGTCATGAGTAGTGTAGTGTGCAAAATGACGTCATGAGTAGTGTAGTCTGCACAATGACGTCATGAGTAGTGTAGTCTGCACAATGACATCATGAGTAGTGTAGTGTGCACAATGATGTCATGGGTAGTGTAGTGTGCACAATGAGGTAATGTGTACAGGCATAACACAAACGCGGCGTAATCCAGACGCTTGCGTACGCATTTCGTTCCTACCTTGAGTCCCGTTACAGCCGGGGTAGCATGATGTGTGTGCTCCTGTATGCGATACAAGCCGATCATGGCCGACCGAGGCATACAACTTAAGCACTGACTAAAGCCATCCGTTGCTGGATTGCACACAAAGTCACAAACAAAAGTATTGCAAAAGATCAAAATAGGCATACCTTGTACCTGCACTCGCAGTATGAAGATAAAGGATACTAGGACAGTAGATGAAGAAAGATATCTGAGAAACTCGTGAGTAGCCCCCGCGTTCTCGATTAAGTTAACAATATCCCCATTTACGGACATGCTTCCGCAATTACAGACAGACAGAAATCATGTACTAGATTAGGTTGAGACGAACCTTTCTTGACACGCGCATCCATGGCCTTGAGTTCCTTGGCTGTCAGGCAGCTACTATTGGACGAGTACATCATCTCGGAGGCTATTGGCACGCTAACATCAGTGCGTGCCTGGTCGGCTTGTCGACGAAGCGACGGATGAAACGTGGTACGCGATCCCAAGCTGTGCGGAGGCGGCGTACGCGATTTCGCCTTCTCCGATAGCGCCCCGTTGCCGTTACTGTTCAAACCGGTCCTGCGAATGTGACTGGGAGGCGCGGAAACCGGGCGAGGGTGACGGGTCGCCGAGAGAGCGTTTCCGAACCAGTCCTCATGGGCAATGGACAGCGGGGATCCGACGGCCGAGGACTGCGCCTCCAGCGAGCTGCTAGCGACGTGCACAGGCGATTTCGTGACGGGGTACGCCATTGGCACGGTTGCCGTGGGCGACGCACCGGCCGAGGACGACGCGTCGAGGGATCGTCTGACGGCAGGTTTGCTCGTAGGATGCGCCGCGGCCACGGCTGCGGTAGCGGCCGACGAAGACGAAACGTTCATCCAGGGCGAGTACGGCTCCCCGTGCAGGGACGACACGACCGGCGGCGGAGACTCCATCATTGCCACGGCGGCGGTGGGCACGGCAACGGGGATATCACCGGCCGATGTTGTCGGCGATACCTCCGTACTGCTTGCGAGCGGCTGACGGCGCAGTATGGAGAAGCCTTTAGAGATCGGTAAGCTCCGTCGCATCGAGCTCTGAGCGGGTGCCGCTGCCGTCGCCGCAGTGGCCGTTTCGTCGCTGGCCAGATTGACGTCGACGAATCCGCTCTGCTCGGCATCGTCGTCGGCGTCCTCATCACCTGCTGCGCCGTCAACACTGGTCACCGACATGCTGGCAGTCAGTCGGCTGTGACGCTGCACACTTCCTGCACAACACCACACACACATGTACGCATTTATTTCCAATTCTACATACATACCGCATCTCCTCGATTAATAGACCCGGTCTTTTGTTTTTTGAAGAGGGTTGGACCCCCGGTCTCTTATTCGGGCATGGTCCATTATTTGAGCATGGTCCACTATATTTTCATCGGCACACCGCTGGAAATGGTGGATTTTTAACACGTCATAATATAGAAACTTCTATATTATGACGTGTTAAAAATCCACCATTTCCAGCGGTGTGCCGATGAAAATATAGTGGACCATGTTCAAATAATGAAAGAAAGCACTAGCCACTACAAAAATTGTAGTTGCGCAACCTAAAATCGCGTCCTTTTTTGATCCACCACGTGCTTTCTCAGTGCGCATGCGAAAAGCGATGAACTCAAATCTTATTCGGGCATGGTCTACTATTTTTCCGTGAGGCCTCTAGGAGGGTCTACTATTTGAGCATGGTCTATTATTCGAGCATGGTCCATTAATCGAGGAAATACGGTACTTTTTATTACAAACACACACATACACGCATGCATGTTTTTCCAATTATTTTACATACATACCTACACACACACACGCACACATGCGTGTATTTCCAAATTTACATACATACAGGAAACACACACGCACACAAACAGGACAGACAGACGCACACGCACACACGTATACATTATACGTGCACACAAAGACTCGGAAACACACATCCATGTGTCATCATCCCTAAATTACACTCAAGCACGCACGCACGCACGTAGGTGAAATTTGTACCTAATCAATGAACACACATTCACACAATAATAATGATACAACAAAACTTCCAATAGAAACTTAGGCGAGCCAACTACTTTCCCACCAAACACAGTCATACGGACATGCAAACAGAAATCACAAAGTCGACCATACGTGAATGCATAAGAATTATAACCTACAAATCACAGAACTAGTGGCAGTGTATCGCGTTCTTACCGACACTTGAATAAACTCGGCTGTTCGACAGTGGATTCCATTCATCGTCAGCTCGTTGCAGCGAGGCAGTGCTACTGGTTTCATTCGCAATCATGTTTGGGGGAACACTAGCGGAACCTACGTACATGTATGCAAAGACAATGACTGCAAGGCATCCACGGCCGGGAACACATGATCACCCGTACTGGTGTCTGCCGGTGACTTTTGCTTCGAGTCAAGCTGAAAATAAGGCCATCAACTGATCAAGTCATGGCTGGAATGCACTTGCTTCTTTCCCAAACAAGCAGGCCCACAGAGCCATATTCAAAAAAATTGAGGTTCATGGTCGACATGGATAGGAATCATAGGATTCTGCTGAAATATTTTGATGATGTAATGGATTTGTGTGATGCAGTCATATGCAGACCGCGCCGCGTACCAGCGTACCCAGTCCATGCGCCAAGGGCCAAAAATGACCCGAATCTTTATGCAAAATGAAGATGACGACGCCGCTTTTTTCGACTTTTTCTGTGACCAATTTTGAGCAGAATCACCATTTTGATCGTCTTCGATTTGGCATGGAAGACTTTCATTAATGCTATTGTAACTTGGCCTGCTGAGGGCTAGGATAGTCCCTAAACAAAATCTGGAAGCCGTTCCGCCAGAGATTTTTCCGTCATGTTGCAGCAGAGCCACTTTTCTCAATTTTGCGTCGTCCAGAATTTATGATTTTTGGATGCCAAAATACTTGATGGCGTGAGAACCAAAAAAGAACTACCGGACACCGCCCAGACCTCAGGTATGTATAGTCCATAGTCCTAGGCTGCTCATAAAGCAAAAATTGTCTTGGTAGTAACTTGCCCAAAAATTTGGCGAATTTTTCCTAATAACCTAGTTGCCAATACACGAGAATCACGAAAACTGGTATGGCTGATGGATTTCTGATTTTCTTCTCGTAAACATGAGGACAATTATCTACGATGTTACAAATATTAATGGGTGTTTTGAATGTGAACAGATACACTTCAAAAGGCTGATCGCGTTCTCAGATCAGCTGCAAACGAGGGTCAAAATTGTAGTTCAGCGCAATCTCCATTGAGGCTCTTCACCCGATTTCACAGTTCATACATGGTAGTCATGGGAAGTTGGGTAGAATTAAATAAGTATGTATGCACTCTTAATTACTCCATAGACAAAGACATGTTCTGGAGTCTCATGGTGTTCGACAGGCGCAATTATTACCTTCATCGTTTCTCGGTGAATTAACTCACTCCACCATTCCACACTGCACTCTTAGCCGACCCACGCCGCTTGCACATCACCAACACAACGGGGACATTCCTGTTGAGATATTCCTGCCCCGTAAGCCGAGAAAAAAGGACAGCATTACAGTGAACAGACCCTGACAAGAGGACCATATCGTAATGGCCCATGCGCTTATACACACGCTTTTGCCGTATTTGTAACTTTTGCAGGTCGATTGGTCTCACATAGAGGCGCATGTGCTTGTAGTTGTGTTACTAGTATGGGATGTGGAAGCTGCGCATTAAACCCTGTAACGATGGCATATGTCGGTATCAGCGTGTCGTGGCCCATGGGATTGGGTTCACCTATGAAGTACAAGTAGGGCTGAAACGATTATACCGATTACTCGGTCATTGATCAATAATTCCTCACAATCAACTTCATAATCGTTACGTTATAGATTACTCGTTATCGATGTTGAGTTCAAAACGTACTGGAAACCCCGTTTTGTGAAGTTTGAATTAGTTTCCACCGAGAGTATGCAGTTGCCAGGGGTATGGCTTATGTTCTGAGGTTCAATTGCATTCAGAATACATTGTAGTAGTTTACATGTATACTAGTCACGATGCTTATGACTTGGTGTGGCTTTTCATTTTGTTTTTGTCCATGCAGGAGTCAGGATTATGCCGTCTACTGAACATTGTCGCATGCGTTCCGATAGAGCAAGCTGGCTGCTCTCCATCTTGATTATGGACCTCAAGTGTGGACCCAAACTGGTCAGAGAAATGAAGGAACAATCGTCATTGCGCACTCTCAGGCCAAGGATATGCCTTGTGAAATGTGCCATATGCAGTTACTAGAGGGATTGTCTCGTTCTTTTTCAAGCTGTTCGGCCACAGGCAATACTGTCACATCCCATGCACGGCTGAACTGGTTAAGAGTACGTGCACACCCGTGATGTCCTTTGCCGAGGAATGTGGTCCAGCGTTTCGAACACAGTACACTGACCATTTACAGCTCGTTTGTAGTGGATTGTGTGAGTTTGGACTGGTGGGATTCGTAGCCGTGTTTAGACAAGCCACTGGAGACAGATTTTCAATGCCTCTATCTTGGTTGAGGTTTTTCCAATCATATTCTGTGCACATATGAGTATCCAAGTGCCTATCGAGTATCATGGTCATGGTCACTGCATACAGATCCATGTGGCTCTCGAAAACAGTCTTCTGTTTGATGGCCAGGCCTGGTGATGTTGTCCTAATTTGGTCACTCTATCGTATGCCGACATTCAGTGTGTAAATGCTGGTGCTGGCTAGACTGAAGTATGGGGAATGACACATGTGCTTTTCTCAAGATGCTCGTGTAGAATTCATTCCCTTTGACCGAAAGCTTGTGTTCCCGGATCCGGTTTGTAGCTGTGCACAATTTCTCCGTTCTTCCAAGTTGTGGTTAACTTTCGCCTCCAACTTTCCCTAACCATCATCTCATTGGTGCGTCTGTCCATGACGTGGCTGGCTGGCATCGGAGTTGGGCACTGCCCTGTCATGCACTGGCATAGTGTTGAACCTAACTGACTTGTATGTCACGTACTAGCTGGAAGTTGTTTAACGGGTTCGGTTTCAGTCTTTTTTATATAGTAGCTTTACCATTCCTATTACTTAGCTATTTCCTTTTCTCGGCCTTAGGACACTTTCTTCACCATACACTGTGTTTCTTTGGCCGTAAAAGAGGCAGTCTGCACTTGTATTGAGTTTCCTCATTGTGATGGAGATGGAAAAGAAAGCACACATATAGCACTTCCTGCCAGTGTCTCGGCTATAAGCACTTTTAGCTGCTACCGAGTGGTTGACTGAAACCAGGGTGTGCCAGATTATTGATCAAGAATGCATGCTGCAGCTCGGCTGTTTTGTTCCTTTTCTTATGTACAGTCAACTTCGCTAATAACGACTGCGGATATAACAATTCGCGAATAACGACAGAATTTCTATGCCCAGAGCAAAGTCACATCCAACTGTAATACATAATGGGACTTCGGGTATAACGACACTTCGCGAATAAGGACACTTTTCTGATGCTCCGCCGAGTGTCGTTATACGCGAAGTTGACTGTAGATCTACAGTGAAGGAATCGAAATCGCATGTAACGTGCAATGTGTTTGCAAGTGAAATAATGTAAAGCCCCCCCCCCCCCCCCCCCCCGGGAATACCTGCGCTCGAATGTACTATCATGTGGTCCATGTGCATAGTCGTGATAATTGTATTGGTTCAGCGCTGTATTCCGGTGTATGTGCTCAAGTTGTTTACAGGTAGAAATTGACGGGGGCACACCAAGTTCTTTACATTACATGTACAGGACTGTACAGTAGAGCCTCGGAAGTTCAGCCTAAAATCAAATTTTCACCAGTTGTAGTCTTCGGGGTGCTGAGTCGCATGGTCTTGGTCCGAGGAAGCTGAGACGCTCCCTTCCTTCTTTATTCCCAATCGAACTCGTGCACTTCCACCGAAACTGGGTGACTGCGCCTTACTAGATGGGGATTTGTATGCAAAATGTCACTAAAAGCGCCATTTCGTTCTTATAAAAGCACGGATGACCGCAATTGGCCCATATGTTGTAGTCTTTTGGCCGCTGAGTCGACTGGTTTTGGTCCGAAAAGGCTGCGATGCAGCGTTCCTCCTTTATTCCCAATCGAACATGGCTGAACAAGTGGTCACGTGCTAGTGCGTACACCAGTCACCGTGCCTGCAGGCTACAACTTACAGCATGTCCGTGCCTGCAGGCTACAACTTACAGCATGTTTGAGCGAGTTTCTGTCACTCGAGTTGAACTTTTGAACCTTGGTGTGAAAATGTTGCCTGCTGGCGCGGTGACTGGTGTACGCACGAGCACGTGACCGATTGTTCAGCCATGTTCGATTAGGAATAAAGAAGGAACGCTACATCGCTGCCTTTTCAGACCAAAACCAGTCTACAACATATGGGCCAATCACGGTCCGCCGTGCTTTTATAAGAACGAAATGGCGCTTTTAGTGACATTTTGCATACAAATCCCCATCTAGTAGGGCGCAGTCATCCAGTTTCGATGGAAGTGCGCGAGTTCGATTGGGAATAAAGGAGGAAGGGAGCGTCTGAGCTTCCTCCTTCATTCCCAATCGAACTCGCGCACTTCCACCGAAACTGGGTGCCTGCGCCCTACTAGATAGGGATTTGTATGGAACAAGTCACTAAAAATGCCGTTTCGTTCTTATAAAAGGATTGGTCCATATGTTGTAGTCTTTTGGCCGCTGAGTCGACTGGTTTTGGTCCGAAAAGGCTGCGATGCAGCGTTCGGCCCTTATTCCCAACCGAACACGGTTGAGTAAGCGGTCACGTGCTCATGCGTACACCAGCCGCCTGGTCACCGTGCCTGCAGGCTACAATTTTCACACCAAGGTTCAACTCAAAGGTTCAAAGCAGGGAGTCGTAAGAGGCTTTTGCGACTCCCTGGTTCAAAGATTCAACTCGAGTGACATAAACGGGCCCGAACAGGCTGTAAGTGAGCACGTGACCGCTTACTCAACCGTGTTCGATTGGGAATAAGGGCCGAACGCTGCATCGCAGCCTTTTCGGACCAAAACCAGTCGACTCAGCGGCCAAAAGACTACAACATACGGACCAATCGCGGTCATCCGCGCTTTTATAAGAACGAAACGGCGTTTTTAGTGATTTTTCCATACAAATCCCTATCTAGTAGGGCGCAGTCACCCAGTTTCGGTGGAAGTGCGCGAGTTCGACTGGGAATAAAAGAGGAAGGGAGCGTCTCAGCTTCCTCGGTCCAAGACCATTCGACTCAGCACCCCGAAGACTACAACTGGTGAAAATTTGATTTTAGGGTATATTTCCCCTTTAAAGAACACGGAGCCCAAGAACACGCAGCCTGAAATACTAATAATTAAGAGAACGCCAGAAACCAAAGCTGAGAATGGGGCATATCATTTTCTACCGTTCAATAATTCAGGTTTTGTTATACATGTACACGTGTTATAAAGTGCACACTCCAGTACAATAAGAGTCTAAGAATGTGCTAAACCTCAGAACGCAGCCATATTGCTAAAACAATGACTCAACTGCAGTTCTTTGCGCACAGATCATACTAAGAGTCCATCACACATTTCCCTTGGGGTTGTGGACTCTTGGATCATATTCCCATTGACATTCACAATGACGGTTTAAGACCTTTGCACTTCACTGAGAATTGAAACCTACTTCAAGCTGTCCTGAGAGGACATTACAACTTTCAGTTTCGCACGAATCTTACAAGAGAAGTTCATGAGTAATGTAACATGATTGCAAACCCGAAGAACACGCCAATGCTTCATAAACTACATACAGGCTATTGGCTAGGCCATTTTTTAAGGGACCAAAAAATGACATTGAAATTGCGGTCGGCAAACCCTGGTTAGAACTTTGTCATTTGAACGAAGATGATGTGGGCTTCTATCTCAGGCCCCTCAAGAGTGAATACGGGTGCTGGTGCGTTTCTTTGCCACGTAATACGTCTCCCACTGGTGACGACAGACAATGCATTGATTTTGTTTTGTTCCAAACCGTGGAGGCCACCACGATTCCATCAAGAACCGGACACCGATGAACGCTTCTGGAAGTGTTTCCACATCGGTGGAGAGTCAAAGGAAAGCATCGATGTCTACATACTATCTTGCCCAAAAATTTGGCGAATTTTTCTTTGCCACTTGCCTGATTTTTACGAATTTTTGACAGCTCCCACAAGAACACTCCCAGCGACGTCGAGACAATGAGTAACGACCACTACAACTGACATCCATAAGGTCAAAGGCCCAATCAAGGTGTCCGGAAAGCAAAACTTCCGCAAACGAGCACTGATGGAGAGAAAATTGCAAACGACTCGAGACATCTAACATTTTCTTGACAATTTTTCAACGAAGATTTGAATATATTCAGCTCGGAAAAGTGGCTAATCTGCATAAAAAAGTACAACTTTTAGACGACTTTTTCGGTCTTGGCGCATGGACGGGGGTTAAAAAAAAAACTGTACCGGCGGAGCGCGCGCCGCGCGGTATGTGTGTGTGGCGTCGTAGATCTACGCATACCGCTACGGTATGCGTCCCTTTTTCTTTTCTTTTTTCTCTTTTACGTTTACTTTATACCAGGCGTGGGCCATCCCCTGTACATAGGTGCCATCATTTTTCTTTGTTTCTTTTTGGTCATATTCAAAATATAGCTTTCGTGTCGTAAAAAAAAAAAAAAAAAAAAAAAAAAAAGCTACGGTATGCGTCCGTCCGTCGCGGCATGCGGCGGCAACATGTCATGAGCCAGTGCGTTCGCTTGCCCTTCTACAGAAACTGGTGCCGTGGAGGAGTGGAAGATCTGACTGACAAGGAAAGGAGGCTCCCAAAGCAAGGCCAAGGGTGTCGAAACCAGGGAATCATAGTAATAACCTGTGCATACTGTAGCCCTTGGCGGATTCTGCTCGAAAAGCAGTGAAATTGGCAGAACCATACAAACCTTATGGCGGGCATTTCCTCGGCATCAGGTACCTGGCATGTCTTTACCCCATGGCCCGGGCTATACGACTCACTGGCTTCAACCATGATTCGTGCAGGCCGGCATGCAAGTGAACCATGCAGGTGAACCTTGGCTTGGGAGCCAGGGCCTGGTGGGGAGTACTAGTGACAGTACTAGTGTATTGAATGCTACATCAAGACTGCGTCACAGATGTAACCATGGTAACCCCAATCCCTGCATGGCCATGTGGGGCATGTAATCTTGACACAATGGCAGTGCTTCACCTGTTCGCAAATGGACGCTTTCAACTTCTCTCGGTTTGGCAAGCTTTGACTGCCGCGTACTGTACAAGGCACAAAATGAAGATACATTCTGCTGGAGATCAACATATAATTACATATTACATACAAATGATGATACAATGAAATTAATATTTAGTATGCTTATCTATGGAAGTTCTCGCGCCGGCATAGAGAAAATAATAATCTTCGAGTACTCGTACTGTCGTGGACATGGAAATCCCGTCGATTGACCGGGGCCGGCGCCCTCAGCACGCACAGTACCGTGCACAATCATGTTGATCCGATGCAACCAGCGCGGTGCAGCGCATAATGCCATCCATGTGTGTACTGCTTGCTCACGGCTACATGGCCAGCGCCACGGGGCCGCTAGATGTGCGACTGGATTTCCATGTCCACGACAGTACATGTAGATCTACTTGCAGTAGCCAGATCTGTCCATGACTGAACAGCTGGTTTCTATAAGAGTTGCAGTCCATAGTGCTAAAATATACGATGTGTTGACCAAAAGTCATAAAGCTCATTTGAAGTCATTTCCCAAGCAAGCGGCATTTCAGCCAGCCATCCACCAAATCCCAGAAAGGGAATATAATTTCCTCCAATGATGACCGAACAAAAAGAAAAAAAAGAGCTCAGGTTCCTCCGGGGTTCGAACCCGGGACCCTTTGCGTGTAAAGCAAATGTGATAACCACTACACCAAGGAACCATCGCTTTCTGTGAGCAATGCCGGCGGCAGTATTGGCCAAGACCCTGTCCTGCTCTGCACCTACGACTCCGTGTTCTGGCCGACACCGGATCACAGACGACGGTCAAAGAGAGTACAAGTCCCCTCCATGCAGCGATCAATGTTCATGGTGACATAGTGAATTGCCCTCGGCCCTATGTGCTGGGGAGAGGAGCAATGCGCCGAACGACACATGGAAGTGGCTCTGCACCTACGACCCTGTCTTTTGGCGAACACCGTGAGGATCATGGCAATACGGTGCAAGGGAGTACACATCCAAACCAGTGATCAATGTTCACAGTGAATAGCCTCTGGCCAGCGATCTCACATGTTGGGTAGAGGAGCAGTGCGCCACATGGAAGTGGCCAGGTGATTCATCACTGCATCTGATAGCCTGATAGCCTGATCGCATGATAGCCGATTGCCCACATACACAGCATGTCTCCAGTACTCAGCAGTCTTTGGTGATACTCAGTACATTCGAGCTAGTCTATTATGCCTGATCGGATCCGCGTTACTACGTGGATGGAGGATAGTCGATGAGGTCATTGGGGGTGCTTGGTGACGTCATCCAAAGTGCATGATGACGCCGTTGGAAATCTGCGGTGGCATCACTTGCCGTACGTAGTGCTAGCATCTGCCGGCTATGTCCTGTAGCGCATCATGAAGTCGAAGTCACCGAAGGAGATGCGTCCATCACCATCTCGATCCAGCTCCCTGTAGAACAAAAAAACGCAACCAACAGCAACAGAAAGAAGGAACGAAAAATGAATAAGAGTTGCAGTCCATCGTGATAAAATATACGGTCTGTCGACCAAAAGTCCTAAAGCGCATTTCTCAAGCAAATGGCATTTCAGTCAGCCATCCACCAAATCCCAGAGAATTCCTTCTATGAGCGAACGAAAAAAATGAGCTCAGGTTCCTCCGGGGTTCGAACCCGGGACCCTTTGCGTGTAAAGCAAATGTGATAACCACTACACCAAGGAACCATCGCTGAGAGATTGTGCACGGCCTCCGCCAGACATATCAGGCATGGTTAGCATTTTTACCATCTACGCTAAAAGTGGCCGTAAATCCAACCGTACTACATTGCTCGTACTGCTCAATGAAATCCAGTCACGTCACTCAAGTGTGCGCCTTGCACCATTCCGCAGCCCAGTGTTCGCAGGTCTAGGGCCGCACAACGCCCGGCGCGTACTTGAGTGACGTGACTGGATTTTATTGAGCAGTGCTCGTATCCAGCACCCAAAATCCCATCAGTTTGGTATCGTCTGGACGACCGAGGGCTCTGTTTACGGGAAGCACACGACGGTAAGATTCCAACTTCTCTGCATTCTACTATCAAGTGGCGAGCGTACGTACACACGTGTGCATACTACGCTGCCTGCTGTTGCTACTGAAGCGATGTCGCAAGCCAATCATTGACTCTCGAGAGTGTATGACTCCAGTGGTTCAATAGGGACTGATGGTATCAATGAAGCATATCATCTTTCCGATTTGATGCTGCTGCTTCTGAACATCTTGCGTACCTTTGTGGCGGAAAGCTTGCACACAGTACTCGAGTTGCACTCACTGTGGCGAGTCCAGAAACATAATGTATACAGTCAACTTGGCTAATAACGACTGCGGATATAACCACAGTTCGCGAATAACGACAGAATTTCCATGCCCAGAGCAAAGTCCCATCCAACTGTAATACATATAATGAGACTTCGGGTATATAAGGACACTTCGCGAATAAGGACACTTTTGTGATGGCCCGCCAAGTGTCGTTATACGCGAAGTTTGACAGTACTTCAAGTTAAACGTGTGCCAAATAGGTGCTGTAATGATCAAAGTCACACATTTCAGTTCTAAAATCGCCAGATAGCTTGTGTGACTTTCCCTCTTCAATACCTCAAACTCCCGAAAATCTATATAATACGCAGGTTTAGCAAGATTATTTTCTTGTTCGAGTTTACACTCCAATGAACAATGAACTCAGTGACGAAATTTGCGCTGTGGTTGGGGCCAGTCACATTGAGGGAACAACTCTCAGATTAAGAACCGGGAATATATTTTTTACTTTTCATCACGCTCACACTGGATGTGCACGATTAAAAAAATCTAACCCACACGTGCAATTGTTTTGTCACCATTCGCTTCTGGCAGGCTGTCAGCACTGCTCCTGGGCCAGAGCTGCATCAGCACAGCCTGGAGCATCGCTCCACTTCATAACGCAATAAAAAAAACAAGGAAACTCAAAGAATCGCAGTGGAACCAGCGGATGATTATAATCTTCTGCTGAAAAGTGGGGCCTCGAGCTGATTTTCATCGAGTGGATTATTAATCTCGAATTTCCCACTGAGCAGCAAATATCCATGGTAACCACAGATCTATTTCAAATTTTCCCTCAGTGTGACCGGCCCCGTGAGGATAAGCAAACAGCCGATTGCGGCATGGCGTTAAAACGTACATGCAGTCGTATACTTATTCAGCTTTTATTTCTTGTGTACTTGCATACTGGTATTAGTTTAGTCCCACAGCCTGCAATAAAACGATCAGCTGTAGCACATACTCCACTTTTATGTTTATGTATCTATGTCATTCGGATGTTCCCAAGTTGTGCATTGTACAGTACTACTGTTGAGATACCGAATTCAAATAAATCAATACCATACAAAAGAAATACATGTGTACAGGCCGTACAACGTAGTAACTTTATAAATCATTATAGTGTGTTCGTGGGTCTCGGTCTGCATACCATCGTGCAGCTAACGAGCTCAGGGAGCTGGCGGTGGTTGACGGCCGAATCTAAACCAGCTGTGTTTTAGTGTAAAACTCTCTCCACTCTTTTTATGTGTATTATCGCATTTTTGTCTCAGAGGAAACTGTTTACTCAGTCTCAATGTCATGAGACATCTTTTCCACACCTGTATATTATTATCTTCTTCTCATACCCTGGTTTCTCATCATTGTGTTGCTTTTGCCCGTAAAAGAGGCTGTTGAGTAACTTTATGACAATAATTATGTACTTCATCTTTTGTATTTTGCATGACTGTTACATCCTATGAAATCGTTTCAGAAAAAAAAAAAAAGGTCGGATCGAGTGTTCTTCACAAAGGTGTGCCAAGCACTGCGTGTCCATGAGGCGCTTTTGCCAAAGGTCCATGACTATACTTGTAATTATATTATATCTACGTGGAGTCGGTGCATAGTTTTTCTTTCAGCGACGGTTCCTTGGTGTAGTGGTTATCACATTTGCTTTACACGCAAAGGGTCCCGGGTTCGAACCCCGGAGGAACCTTAGCTGATATTTTTTTTCCTGCTCACCAACACTTTTTCGGTTCGTGAACTAACTGAATTGCGAACATGCGTACTTTTCGTTCAGAAGAGCAGTCGTACCACGAATCGCGGATTTGTGCTCGGGCAGTCTTCCATATGGGTTGGTTCACATAAGCAAAATCCACGCCGCAAGGCATCGCAAGACATCGGCGGTGAGCCAGCTCCCGGTCCGTTGCGCATACGGTTCGAGTACCGAATCTACTACAAAGTAGTACAGAATGTGCCCAAATGCTGCGACAGGTTTGCCAATTCAAGCATGAATTCTTTGTTTCTTCAGTAGTTCAAGATCTTTTGGTGATGGCCACTCGGTGCTACCTTATACTGGAGAGCATGAAACTTCTGCTACACTTTTTTTGCAGTCTAGTAAGCGGTGGTGTCAAAATAATGCGGGCAAACGTTGACGAACTTGTCAATGTATCTTTCGTATTTTTTATTCATTTCAATTGTATTTGTCTCATAAGTTGCACAACAGTCAGCAGATCATCCGAGAAGGACGGGTTGGTATGCTGACTTAATTTGCCACCTTGAAACGACTACAAGAATGGCGAACGGACCTCGTCTTTAGCTTCAATTAAATTATTTAGGACAATTAACTACAGTCCATTTCAAAACTATAGACGCGTACCTAGGCAAAAACCGTTATGCCAGCATCTATACCACATAAAATCTGTGATCACTTTGTGCATAATTTTTTCCAAATTGGGCGTCTGTTATCCAATTGTTTAGAAACTATATGAGAGTAATTGTGGAGCGGTCCTGAGCAATATTTCGAAAACTATTCTCAAAACGTTCCAGCCAAATTTGAAATATTTCAAAAACCCTACGCGTCTATAGTTTTGAAATGGACTGTAGGATGAAATTTTGACAAAGTCTGGCTCCCGGCACCGGCGATCACCGGCGCGCACGGTTCACAAACCACTTTTGGTCAAAATTGTACGGGATCGGCGCCGAGGCAGATCGCAGGAGTTGGACACTGTCCAACTTTGCCGGCGGTCCCTTGCGATATTTTACCGTGTGATTTTGTTACGACTGCACTGGTTCACATAATCGCAATGCGCCGGGAGAGGTTGCAAGATGTTCGCAATTCAGTTCACGAACCGAAAAGTGTTCGTGAGCAGGAAAAAAAATATCAGCCAAGGTTCCTCCGGGGTTCGAACCCGGGACCCTTTGCGTGTAAAGCAAATGTGATAACCACTACACCAAGGAACCGTCGCTGAAAGAAAAACCATGCACCGACTCCACGTAGACTTATAATAGGTATAGTCATGGACCTTTGGCAAAAGCGCCTCACTCCCGGTGACTCCCGGCGCGTACCGGCGATATGTGAACCAACCCTATACTGTAGCTACGCGCTGAACAGTCCAGGGGTAGCGGATATTCATACTTGAAGTACCAGAGAAGGCTGGCATGGCTGCACCTGCCATACCAGCTGTGCCCGCCCTCCTGATCATGGACACCTGCACACCCACATAGGCACGCACTCGCGCACGCACACAACGACACGCACTCGCGCACGCACTCGCGCACGCACTCGCGCATCACTCACGCACGCACTCGCACACTCACACAACGCAGCATGTACACTCGAACAGAAATTTACCTGAAGGCAATCTCTAGCGAATCCTCGGGCAACCGCGGTGCAACGGATGCAGCAGCATGCTTCAGATCATCAAGGGTTAAGAAACCTTGGCCTACACATGCATCACAACGACAACAAGAGCGAACAGATCGGCAAACGCATTGACGCCGGTTAAGCTTCGAACAATCAATAGCCACAATGCTAGAATAGGTGTTGTCAGCGATCTTGAGTCCTTTTTAAAAACAGATTTCATTCGAAATACCGACAAAGTCTCCTAGTTGGGAAAGAAACTCCTTACTTTCTTTTTCTCATGGTAAAGAAAAAGGACCTAGGAACTACAAGTTACGCTATATTGTCCACTAATGGGCCATTCACACTACGCTCAGAACGTGGCGTACGTGACGTTTTCGTCCGGATAGCCATGACAACATGGAACGTGGCGGGAAAATCGTACCCCTGATACGAAAACGTAGACGACGTATCCAGATCCCTGTACCGAGTTTCGTTCTGTCGTTCCCAGCAGTTTGTATCCAAAAGAAGCTGTACGCACAGCTGTACGAGCAGCGTGTGCTGGCCTGTGTGAATGCACCTGCATGAAAACGACGTCTGCCAGTACGTCGTATTCCAAAACGTGACGCGTATTGTAACATAGTATGAATAGCCTATAACACCAATGGTTAGTTGACAATCAGCTTATGTGATAACATAACATTCCCAACTTTTTCTCACTTTCTTTTTCTCTATTATTAAACAATACTATAACGGCTTGATGGATGATTGTCTAGGGTATTAACATCATCATGGGCCTAGGCAGTGTGAACGTACAGAGATTACAGTAAAACCTGTCAAGGTGACCACTCGGATAAGGCGACCACCTGTTCCAGAAGACCACTGCAACAAGGACCAAGGGGTGCTAACATATGTTCAGTCAAACGACCCTGGACAAGGTGACCACTCGGATAAGGCGACCACCTGTTCCAGAAGACCACTGCAACAAGGACCAAGGGATGCTAACATATGTTCAGTCAAACGACCCTGGACAAGGAGACCACTCGGTAATAGAGACCACATTTTTTGAAGGTCGCTTGAGCAGTCGTCCTAGAGTCAGGTTTCGCTGTAGTTCAAAGTAGTAAAATCAGCACCTACATTTCCTGTCGAATGCCAGGAAGACTTGACGTATGCACTCGGCACTGTCTCGCACTCGACTGCGCGCTTCCATGGCTGCTATGAAGTGCTTTAGGCACACGCCTGCGGAATACATGCACACACGCATGCACGAGCACACACACACATCACACACACACAAACATAAACACACACGCACACACACACACGCACACACACGCACACACACGCACGCACACACACACGCACGCACACACATGGAAGTCTTTGTAGAAAGCGCGGTGCCTCGTCTGTTGCGACTGTGATGTCAGGGGCGTAGCCAGGATTGTGGCTGAGGGGGGTGCTTACTGGAAGTGTGGGCGTGCGCCGGAAGGGCGCGAAAAATGGGGGGGGGTCCGGGGGCCCTCCCCCGGAAAAATTTTCGATATTGAGTGCCAAATCCTTCATTTTTGCATCTATTTCATTATTTTCCATTCCACCAATGATTCAATAAAAAGTCAGATAATCGTATGAAACGCACAGTACTTTGCTACAGAAGTTGGATGGTAAGAGATTGACAGGGTGTGGTTAGACCCAGAATATAATACAGACAATTGGCACTGGCACTGCTGCTACTGGTATCTGGTCTCTTCGACTTCCCTCGACTAAAATACTTCAAGATCGACATTTTCATAAGAATCCATTCGACTTGCGGATCACAAAACGACGTTGACACTTCTCTTTCACTTCTACCAAGTCTAGCTACACAAAGTGCGAGTCTATATACCGGTAGTTGTACAATGCGCAGTGCATCCGAAAACGACCAAACTCACATTCAAAGGCAAAGATCTACACACAACTATACTACCACGGTAGTACTAGTTCAAATTACAGTACCGGTAGTACTACATTGTACTAAAAATTAATAATTTAGCACTACTGCGCCTGTCACCGGCGAGAACATGACTGCATGTGCAGCCATGCATGCAGTCTCAAGTGCAACCTGCATGCGCTACTAGTAGTGTAATACAGTTGGCCGGGCCCCGTCGTGCAGCGCAGCGTCGTGTGGCGTCGATCTTGTCGACGTCGAGTCTCGATCGCGGGCGGGCGTAGATCCACAGCAGTACGAAAATGGTACCTGAAATTTTTGAGGGGGGTGCTTGGGCACCCAAAGCACCCCCCCTGGCTACGCCACTGGATGTACTGTGGGATATCAGACACTCGAGTACAGCACCACTGCCCCCGCCCCTCCCCCCCCCCCCCCCCCCCCCCACTGCAGATCAAAGCGGTGAAATCATTGTACCGAAGCGGCCCGTGCCTTTGATTGGTCACATGATCAGCGAGTAACTTGTAATTTGTAGCACTGTAGGCGATGTCAATGCATGCAAACCAAAGTTGCATGGAAAGGCTCACACAAACATTGTTGGCAGTTGCGCCCGGTGAAATCTGACCATATAAGTCATGCAAGACTCAGAACCATGCAGTCGTCCACTCACCTGGCAATGGATCACCGTTGCAGTCGACTAAGTCATCACATGATGACATGACGCGTTGCACCTCATGCTGTAGGCAACAACAAAAAGGCATGTTGGGGATTTAAAAAACAAGCAGCAATAACAATGAGTACAATACAGGCGCGTACCCAGGGGGGTTACAGGGTTCAGACGAACCCCCTTTCTGTCAGCCGACTGAACAATTTTTCGTTTTTTCGTCTTTTGTTGCCCTGCGCTGCGCGTGGGCGTCGTGCCGTACTGTCACCAAGTCGTCAAGTCGCAGATTCTACGACTACTTGACGTCTTCATGCACTGCGCATGCGCCCTCACGGGCACCCACATGTCCACTCAAACAACAATGACTTTCAAAAGAGTTTGGGGATAGCGATCGAGCTGTACGCAGTCGGGGTTGGTCAGCTGTGGATAACTCCAGTCTCCTCACACAACAGCTTCCAGATTGTGCATAAAAGTAGGTCCACTGATTTCGATATTCGGGAGGGGCGAGACCACCCTCCTTCAACTGTTTAGGATCGCATGGCAGCAAAAATGGTGTCCACAGAAAGTGGAAAAAAATATCAGCTAAGGTTCCTCCGGGGTTCGAACCCGGGACCCTTTGCGTGTAAAGCAAATGTGATAACCACTACACCAAGGAACCATCGCTGAAGTCTGCAATGGGACGTGTTCTGATGAGAAATATCCCTGTCGGCAACGGCCACACCCACCCGTTGTCCGAACAAAGCTGTCATGGATCAAGTACAGTGATACAGTTGCGTTCGGTGAAATCCGACCAGCAGTACTTATTCGGCACCCTCAACTTTACAGCCCATGACACCCGCAGGCTGGTTAAGGTACGAATGCGATTTGACGTACACCAGTACAAGTACAGCGATGTAATCGGAACCGATCCAGGGCGTCAGCGTTGCACTTCGGGCCGGATTTCACCGAGCGCAACTGTAGTAAAGCTGCAGTGCTGCTAGACACAGAATGGCCTACATGCAGTCCAATCGGCTGCTTGCATGAGGCCATGACAACCAGTTCAACCTGCGCGGCATCCGTGGATCGGTGTGTTGCAAAAGAAAGATCCATGAGCAAGATTCGAACCCAGCACCCCTGTTATTCCGGGACAGTGCCCTACCGATTAGGCTGCCGGGGATCACACACACACGCCCGTGGCTCCTTCTTGCTACAGGTGTATCCAAAACTTTGAAAATGAGGCAACATGTGATTTCTAACCGACCCGCTCAGTGGTGCTAGTCACCAATAATGCCGCAGTCTTAAATGACCATGCTGGCTCATGCATGCGTGAAAACGTTCTTACCTTCGACGCCTTGTAACCCAGGGCAGCTACCATGGCAACCTTGAGATCAGCCTGGCACAGGAATCCCTGGTGGCTAACGTCGGCATGAGTAAATACCTGCACGTACACATTATGATCAAAACACAGCACAGCTATACAGTAACAGCTACTGCAAAGGTCGAAAAGAATGGTTCAACCAATTATATATACATACGCTGTAATGCTGCGTTCCATGCACGTAGCTGAATGCTAAGGCAATCATCAGACAACAGTAACAGCTCCTGTATAAGTACACTGTGACCAAGAGTGCAGAACCCCAACAGTACACTGAAATCAGTTGATCACCGAGCTGCAGCCGGAGAGTGCTCTATGTCAGAGACAAAGCTTAGTATACATAGCACACTCAGCGGAGGACGTTCTGGTTCGTGGTTGTAACTCTGAGTTTCATGCCGCTAGGCAATCATCCTCACGGTTGTCTGATGATTGCCTAGCGGCATGACACTCAGAGTAACAACCAACCTGAACGTCCTTCGCTGAGTCTGTTATGTAACCCCAAGAGTATGCAACTCTGCGCATGGGCTCTCGCACGGCGCGCTGCCTGCATGATCACGGTAGCCACAAACTGTGGGCCACTGAGTCATTATTGATCTGCTACGGTTTCCTGCTTTCACTGAATCCGCTTTCCTCGGAGACTTGGGGTGGTTGCCGCACGTGGCGCATCACGCACGGGCACTGCCTTTGAACATGCCGTATTGCACGTGAATTCAAGTGTTGAAGCTAAACCGTAGGAAAACTCGAATCCAGACAGCTGGATCGTCATTTCACTATGTAATGCAAGCCGCTGAGTGCGCCGCGTAGGGACCGGCGGATTCTGCTCGAAAAGGTGGCAGATTCTGCTCGAAAAGCAGTAAAATTGGCAGAACCATACAAACCTTTTGGCGAGCAATTCCTCGAATTCTGCTCCATTTCTTTATCCACATACCAAACATGCATGATACTTACCAGAAAAAGTACCGAATTCTGCTGTCGTGGCTGGCTGATCGTCCCTACGTGTTAGTTATCCCAAGCCCGTTTGCACAAAGTATATGTGCGCCTCTTGGTAGTTCCACTCAGGCGTACCTCAGACCCAAAGCACAGAGAGAAGTCAGGGTGGCGGAGCCCTCAGGTCCGATATAGTAAAGGAACAAAGGAACAGTAAGAAACTAGAAAGTCAAAGGCCAAACCGGCTCAAGCGGACAAGTCCGCTTGAGCGGTAGCGGAACTCCTATAAAGAAAGTCTATTCAAGAAAGCTAAAGAGAATAAGACTAATGCTTCTCATACAAGACTCAAACAAGACTAATCCAAGACTCATACAAGACTCCTAATAGACTAATACTTCTCATAGATATCTGGCCAAGTCAGCGAACTTATACTAGCTGAAATCTATGCGAGCGGCTACGAAGGGAAGGATCGAGCAGGCAGCAGCGAACGAGTAGTGAGCTGTGCTAAACTCAGCAAAGAGTAATGTATCTAAGTATTGAAGCTTATGCTAATCATGAATCGAAGCAACTAAGCGGAACAGCAGAACAGCGGACCGGCAACAGAGACAATAGCTGACAGTTCTATGGTAATGGATAGTCTAGGTCCGGCGACAGGAGAGGTAACCCTATCCTAATCAAAAGGAAGAGAACATTGATGAAGAGCCGCGGTAGAGGTAGGTGACAGGCTGATAGTGAATGTGTGCAGTACTATAGTGGTATTGGTAAGTAGTGCTATCTACGCAGGCCCATGACATCTCCCTCGGCTACAAAGAAAAGGGTCACGTCCTCGTGACGGGAAGAAATAACACAAAAGAGCAAATGAAAAAGGGCTAAAATAAAAGGAAACTAAACATCGCCGTAGTTCCAAAGAGGGTGTGAGCAAGAGGGAACAGAGCTTCAGACTTCGAATCAGGAAACGAAATCGGAAAGAACCTACGGTTAGAACTAATGAACACAATGTAAAGTCTAATTTCTTTGGCAGGTGGCATCTCTAGCAGGGTCTAACCTTGGAAAAATTGTGACGCAAAACAGTCACTAGCAGCAGAACAAAAATACGATAACTGATGAGCTATGCCGAACAGAACAAAACGAATGGACAGCGGATCTAATCTATTGGCACAAAATCTTGTTGTGTGCTGGGAACAATCTTAATCAAAGCACGATGGGGCTAGGAGCTAATTGTTCACTGCCTAAGGCACAGGACCAGGGGTAACAGTTGGGCAGTAGGCACTCGAGAGTTAGCTATGAGCAAAGGCTGAACTTAGAGAACTAACTGTATGGGGCACAATTGTTCGCACACTAAATAGATAGAGTCTTACTTGGTGGCACTCAGGTAGCAGACAGAGATCAGTGCGGACGGTACTCATGACGATGGTGGACGGCAGCACTTGAATCAAGTTGAGGAGACACTATTAGGCACATGGAAGACAGTTCTTTGACGGTAGACACTATAGAAGATGACGGCAGTACAAGATGGTAGACTGGATCAGTGCACTCAGGGTAGTAGGGAACAGACGACATCATAGCAGTACTAGTGCAAGTGCAGTACCAAACGGAATCGGCTATAGTGACAGGGTGGACGGACAACGAAGACATAGCAGAAACATTGATACTCCAGCAACTGGTGGCAATGGCTGGGTAAGACAGGTACTTGGTGAGGCTCAGCAGACCACGGAATGGAATCCTGGTGTTCATGTCATCGTACTATAGGTGAGTGATGGTATCAGCATGGTAGGGTGAAACGATGAGACGTAGTGGTAGAACAGCAGAGCCAATGACTCGAAGTCAGGTAGCAGTAGGAATGCCTCACTCACAGGTGACTGGACTGGCGTAGGGAGAAGGCAGATCTTCCACCAACTCAAGAAGCGAATTTTTTTTCTTCCATCTCGAAGGATGGTGGCCTAGCTCATAAAGAACACGGCAGCGAGACAGTTGATCCACAAGAATCACTGAGAATAATCACGAAGACCGGGCGTAGTTGGGACGCAATACACAACATCCAAGAGACGGTCTCGTACCAGGAATAGTCCACACCATAGTTAGTATACACAAAGTTTGGGGAAACTTCAACCAATCGGCGAGGACCAGCAACCAGATAAGGTTACTAGAAACGAGATGCACCAGACGAGCGCCAACGTCATGAGGACGGGCAGTGCAGACAGATACAGGCGAACGTTTGTGCACACAGAATGCGCATGCACAAAGTTTCTGGCGTAACGTTTACCTGATACACATGAGGGTAGGAAACGCAACGGTTTGTACCTCAGCGGAATGCAAGCCATAGACCAAGTGTGTACACACACACAAACTGTGCTGAACGAGCACGACGTGATAGTCTGTTAGCACGGCTCACGACTGCACACCACGATCAATGATCTGAGCGGCAGTGGGAGAATTAACTCTCCAGCAACGGGATTTAAGCGGAAAGAGGACCCCAGCAGTGTTGCACGTAATGATCAGATTCACGACAGAATCCAGCTTCGTGTAACAACGAGATTGATGGGTCATGGAACTATGGTGGGCAGCCTGGTCAGTCAAGGCCAGGTGGCAACAGCCCAGCATAATGCAGCGTAAAATTCATGATATGGCTAAGTGAACTTAGCAGCGGAATACCAAAAACACCACAGAGGGGCACAATTGGCGGAAAGGACGGCGCGTATCAAACTGTAACAAGCCATCAGGCACTTCAGTGAGATACAAATAGGTCTCCCTAGGCTGCAATATCAGCAGCGGCGGCGTGTGCCAGATAGACAACACAAGTAGGCGTAAGAGCAGTGTCATTCGAGACATGTGCAACCACAATGATTACGTACTTTGTCTTTCTGGTACGCGGACCAGAGTGATTTACAACCACAGTATGCAAACCGGCGGAAATGAACGACACAGGGATACGGAAGGCCCACTGGGCGGCGTAGTGTACTCTCGTACCGATAGACAACAACGGCAACAATAACAACATTAATGCAGTCACACTCCCCGCAATGATTCATACGACAAGACTACAACTACCTTCAACCTACATGTACTTCAAAACAGAGCCTGACACCCTGGTAACACGAAAAAGTAACAGCCCAAAGGTGTACTTCACATAGACATCATAGTAGAATGGTACTCATCAGTGACCCGGAACCCGTGATAGAATAGGTGGATAAATCAACAAAACCTCCAAAAATAATAACAAAATGATAACAAAACAATGTTACGTCAACAGCTGGTGCCTGAACTTTCTAGTACGTATTCTTCAATCTAAAGTAAACCCAAGATTCTCAACCTCCGTGAACTCAATAACTACCATTCATTACCTCTGCTCCCCTTCAAAACCCAGTAAACCCGTTACTGCTTGCAAAACAAATACTTCAGACAAACCCTTCCAAAACCTTGAAAAATGAAACCAGCTAACCTCCACTGACAACCAAAAACAAAACTCACAAAATGACGATGGTCTGATCGCGTGCATATATCTCCGTACTCTTACCTGGCCAGCTCCGCTCTCCGTTGATCAGTCGGACGCGAGCTCCCGAGCACCGCAGCAGCCTTTCGCCGCTTGTCACGTAGCCGGCTACGCATTTTACAACACAAACCACTCCACGGTCAGATCGGACTTCAATTCCGTCGCCAGCACTCGGCAGCAATACAACGACGGGCAATCAGCGCAACCACTAACCGCGAGCCATCGGAGCCTTTTCTCTCTACTCCGATCTTGGATCCAGTCACGAGACCAGGAACTTCTCCAGTGACGATCCGAACCGCACCAATCGTGCGCACAATCCTTCTCTTGCACCAGGCGGAACCACATCGCCAATAGCGCATCAGACCAGACGAAGCGTAGACCAGGCGAAACTCAATCGCCGCGCGGGACAAAGGACAATTATCAGCGGAAACAGAAACGAAACATGAACAGGACGGAGGTGGCGCCAGGCGCCTGTTGCAGGGCGTATCAGTATCACGAGAGCCATCTCTCAATCAAGACAATCAATGCCCCACAGGAGCTGTGGACAGCGGACAAAGGCCAACACCAGGAGATAAGCGTAAGTGGTCTGGCGGAATCAAGCGGAAGACCGACGAGGCATGAGCGACGCGCATACTCCGTCACCTGG